TACCAGGCACTGGGGCTATAAAGATTTGAACAAGACTGGTCCAGCTCACACTAGGACCTCTCCCCCCCTCCCCACTGAAGGGGCCATATTAGAAGGAGCTATGTTTTAAGGGGCAGCTTGCCCACCTGGGTTGCCCTGATGCCCGTAGGCCCAGCCCCTCCCTGTTCCCAAGTCCCCAGAGAATCTCCCCTGAACCCCACTTCGTACAAAGAAATTAGGTTTCCCTGGCTGTTAATTGAATTACACTGCAGGAAAACAGAGAAGATGTATCTCATTAAAGCCTCCTGTGTCCTATTGGAGCAATGTGTTGCCTTTGTGATGTTATTCGCATTTGTCATGCAGGATTCAGCTCTGTGCTTACAATCCCCTCCCCCTTTCTGCTCTCCTGACTATACCCCTAAAGCTGTAGTCCCTGCCACCTGCCCTGGGAGTGGCCTGATGAAGCTGCCCACCACAGAGAAACCACAGCTTTTTGGTGACAGCCAAATTCGATTTCCCAAAGCCAGATACTGTGTGCAGGCAGAGCAGGCAGACAGATGGCGAGAGGTGGCCAGCCTTACAACCACAGTGGCATGGGCTTAAAGAGGGAAGAATTGCTTTCTGAAAGCCTCGGTTTCCTCATTTGAAAAAATGGGGATAATAAGACTTACTTCTCATGGCTGTTGTTGGGGGATCACTGAGCAATGGCCAAGAGGCAAAAGCATCCAGCTTGTTACCTGGTCCATTACATCATCACAGGAGCTTAGTCAAGAAATACATCAGGACCCAGGCTTGGGAGTAGGGGAATCATAACAGTACCTACCTCACGTGAGTTAATTCATGTAGAATAGTAGAATACTTTCAGCACATGGTACATGAGAAGTTCCCAGTAAAAAATCCTAAAACAGTGTGTGTGTGTGTGTGTGTGTGTGTGTGTGTGTGCGTGCACGCATACGCACTCCTGCAGATGACTACACATGTCTCTAGGGAACTCCTGGGGTCTGCCTTCAACCCAGAAAGTGCTCTGGGAGCACAGCCGGGTCTAGTGCAGTGAGGGCTCGATCATGTTTATTACTGTGATTCAGTGGAGCAGAGAGACCTTGTGGTCCAGAACAAGGGGTAAGTGGAGGGAAGGAGAGAGCAGGTGGGGCGGGGCAGCCTCTATTAGGGGGCTGCCTCATTAAGCCCATCTGTATGGCCGCCAGGAGGGCTGAGGCTCCCAGTCTGTGGGCCCTGGAGGGCACCATGGCCTTTGGAGGCTGGGGCAGGACCTGGGGGAAGTAGCAGAGTTTTCTGTCCTGGTGCTGTCAGGAGGACTAGGGCAGGGAGAGGAAAGAAAGCAGGTTCTCTGCTTATTGCCCAGGTCAGGGGGCTAAAGATGCCTATATGCAAGGAAAAATGTATCCTCCATCATAGAATCACCTCCCAAAACACTGAGCTGGATTCCCAACGTGGTAGATATCCATGTCTTTATGTCACAGGTGCTGAGTCGGAGGCTCAGGGAAGTTAAATATACTGTGTTGAAGGCACGTAGCTGGTAGAGACTTGGGTAGAACCCAGGCCTGCCTGGCTCCCAGGACCTTGAAGCTGGTGGGAGGACCAACAAAAGCAGTTCTTCTCTTCTTCATAGGGGGGGCTCCCCTGAACCTGTCCTGAGCTGTGAGGCTGTGAGGAATGCATCGGGCTGTGCTGCCCAGTGCCCAGTGCCGTAACAAGCAGCCCTGGCAAGAGAGTACAGGGAACCCACCCCGGGCACCAGGTTGTCACTCAGGGCTGAGGGACCAAGTGGGCTCTGAGGCCTGTCCAGGATCTCTGGAGGCCCTGTTGTCTCTGGTTGCCCCCATGCGAGGTCTTTGAACAAACCTGATTGGGAAGACAAACTCCCTGAGGTAGAACTGACATATATTGGTGTACAGGTTGTACACTGTTCCAAGATATATAGCCTAAGGGGCAAGTGGAATCTGAAACCCAGTCCCTGCTCCACTGGCCAAGCCATGGCTTCTAGTATCAGGTTTTATCCAGCCAGAGGGATGCCTGTATGTTCACACACTGGCCCTGGACAGGCTAATGCTGCAAGTTCCCTCACACTAATGCAGAGCCTTAAAGTCCTCCTACCAAGAAAAGACTTCCTTTCCCTTCCCTTCCTCTGACTCTGACCTATGCTGAGGCTTGACCCGGCTTCCACCCCTTTTCACGAGCACGTGTGCACGCACGCGCGCGCGCGCGCACACACACACACACACACACACACACACACACACACACACACACACACACACCCCTCTGCATGAACATTCCCACAGGACCAGGACCTCTCTTCCCCAGGAAGGCCTAAGGGGTCCCCAGCCCCAGTGTCTGACCATTCACTGTGCGGAAAGCAGAAACATCACACGTGCGGCTCCTCCCACACCCCACATTTCAATCCTCTAGGAAAAATGGAGGCATCTGCAATGCAAGGCCTGACTTGTTGATGTGAAATCTTACTCTATATTCCACCCAGGTTTATACGAGTGAATTATGCAAATCTTTGATGGAAAAATATTCCTCCACACATCCTTGAGAGTGTAAAAGCTTAGTCAATAATTCATACTCGGATGTCTCTGACTGCAGGCTTTTTCTTCATTATAACTTGCACCTCCTTATTTGTCTTTCACGTTTTATTGTATATCCTGGTGTAATGCTGTGCATTATAAAATTTATCTGCTTCATTATTTGATGAGCTGGGGCTGGGGATTGCGCCGGGATGCTGGGACGGGCTGGAGGCCAGGACTGCCCTCAGTACCAAATCCCACATGACAGAAGGCAGAGGAGGTGGCTGGCTATATGATGTGACTTCAGGAACACCAAAAGCCGCCCTTCACCCCTCCACTCACACACCTGTTCCAAATGTCTCCTCACCACTGACTGACATCTCAGGTCACACCATTACAGCTCCATGGTGTCCTTCCCTTCTCCAAAGGCTTGTTTGTCCTTAGAAGTCAAATGACCCTGGAGAGTTTGCTGGGAAGAATGTTTTCGGAGTAGGTCTTTAAAACTGGAGGAGAAAGACGTCCTGAGGATGCTGGGAGGAAAAGGAAGGGCCAGCCACTGAAGTGGAACAGAGACACAGTGCCCCAGAGGGAGATGGTTGCGAGGGGAGAGAAGGCAGAGCACCCTCTTGCACACTTGCTCAAGCAGGCTGGCGATGGGGATGTGGTGAGCCGGGCCTGCAGAATTCAGTGTGAGGGGGAGCCCGCCCCGCAATGGGGGTGGGGTAGAAAGTGTCTGATTCTTGCCCTCAACCGCAGCCCCTCCCAGTTTGTGTCCTCCAGCATAGCTAATGAGCACTCCTCCCAGGTCAAGAGCAACTGGGGACCTATACTCTGAGAGGCAAGATTTCCCAGGAAGGTGGTGAGAAAAGGCAAGGACAAGGACAGTCCTCCAGATGCAACGGACCGAGTCCCTTGCCGGAACCTGCACATTGCTGCCTCTGGGCCTTTGCTCCAGCAGGTTCCACTGCCCAGGGTACCTCTGTTCTTCCCATTTAAGTCCTGCCATGCCAGCTATTGTGCATTTCTCCTAGCATAGCACTTACTATTCTTTACCGAAATTGTTTGTTTTGTCATCTGTTCTCACCACTACAGTGAAACTCCCTGAGGTCAGGTTTGTCCTGTTCATTGTTAATTCCAGAACCCAGGACAAGTCCTGGCACCTAGTAGGTGCTAAATAAATGCTTGTTGAATAGACAGGTGGTGCCTTTCCAGATACCCCTCAGCCAAAATTAATTTCTCCTAATACCTTGATGAAACACTCATCAGATTTTCCTCATTTTCATGTTGCTCATGCAGGTGTCTATCTTCCCCTCCTCCTTCCCTTCTTCCCCCATGACAAGGACCCATCTCATATCATGTGTGTCCCCAAGCTTGACGCAGTGCCGTGTAATGGCATAGGTGCTCTATTAGTGTTCATTGAATTGGATGGAGGAGAAAGGGGACAGGATTTCACTGGCAGCTGAGACCACCTTTACCTCTGCCCCTACCCTCTTGCTGCAGGCCATGGCACTCAGCCCCAGAGGAGGGTCAGGCTGAGCCACCTCTTGTCAGGGCAGTAAGAGGGGTCTCCTGATGGGCAGCCAGGGCCTTGGTTGTTTCATGATGATTTTCTCAGGTCAGCAGTAGGGGTGGGGTGGGGAGTAGGGGCCTGTTAGTGTGGCTTAAGGGATCCTAATTACAGGGGTGCTACCCAGGGCTTTCTGTTGCATTTGGTTAGGAAGAACAGGGCTTTGTCAGCTGTTTTGGAGGGTAAACCAGCTGACTGCTGTGGTCAGAGCCTGAGCCATGGACACAAAGCAGAGGCCCCAGTGCTTTAGAGCAGGGCTCATAACCTGGGGCCCAGAGACCACCTTCCCAGGGGGTGAATGGATACGATTCCAGGGGTCCATGAATTTGGTGTGTGTGTGGGCGAGAAATCACATCTTTTTTCCACTAATTTCTAACTGAAATTTAGCATTTCCTTACATTTTGAACAACCAACCACAGCAGTCGTGGTACCTGTGACTATCACCAGTAGAAATCCACTTGTTGCAGGCATCTCAAAATATCATTATCATCGCTCTTACAAAATTGTGCTAATATAACCCAGGACTAGATCTTATTTGATAGAGTAATAAAATCATATATCAATGTGTGATATATGATATCAAAAGTTTGCTTTTGAGTGTTTTAAATATTTGTATAACCATATTTCAATATATCTGGTTTCCTCTGTAATTCTATGTATAGTGTGGATGTTAAAACGTTCTGTAAAGGGGTCCCGGGAATGTAAGAATCCCTGGTGAAGAAAGGCTGCCCCAGTCATGGGTGGGGAGAGGGAAAAAAGGGACAGGCAAGTAGGGTTTCCTATAGCTCCTTTAACCTTTATTAGACCTCTGCCTGGGGCTGAGGTGCTCTGTGGGAGGGGCAGGGGAGCGGGGCCTCTGCGAGGGCATATGCCCCTCCCCCACCCCTCTTACTGAGGCCCCCTGTGCCTCCTCCCCTCCCCAGTACCGGCCATGATCACCTCCCACCCCAACACCACCATCGCCATCAAAGGCCACCCGAAGGAGCTCAACTGCACAGCACGGGGTGAGCGACCCATTATTATCCGCTGGGAGAAGGGAGACACGGTCATCGACCCCGACCGCGTGATGCGATACGCCATCGCCACCAAGGACAACGGCGACGAGGTGGTCTCCACACTAAAGGTGAGCGCCCAGGCCCCTGTCTCAGGGGCCCCAACTCTCAGAAAGTGGGAAGTCGTAACTATCTTTATCCAATGGAGGTAAATGAGAATTCTGGGAGCCTCTCCACGCACCTCAAAAAGTACTTCCCCTTTCCCAGCTATTTCCCTTCTCCATCCAGGAACCTCACTGTATCTCCTTTCTGACAACCCCACCACCATGAAATGTGTGGAACCCTCAGCCCTTCCCTCTTCTCCAGAACCCCTGGACTCCATTCTCCCTGCAGGCCCCCTGCTCCCCACCTTCTCTCCTGGACCCCTGAGCCTCTCCCTCCCTCCTGGGCCCCTTCAGCCCCTCCCTGCATGGACCCTTCCACAATTCCAGCCTTAGAGTTTTCTGGGAAGAGAAGTCCTTGACAAAACCCCTTGTGCGTCTCCCTCCCTGAAGATGGCCTTGCTCGTCTCCACTAGAGTGAGCCCCTTTCCGCTGACCAGCTCTAAAAGACTCTCCCCATTTCCTCCCTCTCTCCCCGTTTCCTCCCTTTCTCCCTGTCCTCCTGCCCCTGCCGCCACCTCCCAGCTCAAGCCCGCTGACCGTGGGGACTCTGTGTTCTTCAGCTGCCACGCCATCAACTCATATGGGGAAGACCGGGGCTTGATCCAACTCACTGTGCAAGGTACCCTCACCTGCCCCATGATTCCCTACCCCTTCCCAGGGACCCAGGTGCCTATTGTTAACTCCATCTCAAGATCAGGGACACTGCCCATACCCACACAGTGGTGGAGGATGATAAGAACTGGCCTCTGGGGAGAAGCGTCCTCCCTGCCCTCCAGCCCAGAGTGGGTGATAAGGGCCCTCCAGGCACACTTCAGATAGCAAGGTTTGGAATGGCTACAGCCCCACAGAACACTCTGCGGCTTCCAGAAGTGTGGGGGCCTGGAAGGGAGTCAGCTGGGAAAAGCTGGGAGCTCTACGTGGGGGATAAACAGGCCATCAGCTCTGAGGAGTCCCTCCGAAAAGATCTGCCCTGTCCCAGACGAAGGGAGGGAAACAAAGCAGGAGACAAATGGACCGCCCCGCCCCCCGCCTGAACCCTGCTGCCAGGTCATTTTGCCCAAACCCCAGCATTCCAGGGCCCTGGAGTAGACACCAACCCCCAGGGGTCCAGCAAAACCCTGGTCCTCCCTGGGGGTGGAAGGAGGCCAAGCTGTCTGCTGCCCTCCTCACTCCTGCCCCCTCTCCCTGACACACCCCAGAGCCCCCTGATCCCCCAGAGCTGGAGATCCGGGAGGTAAAGTCCCGGAGCATGAACCTGCGCTGGACCCAGCGATTCGATGGGAACAGCATCATCACAGGCTTCGACATTGAATACAAGAACAAGTCAGGTATGCCGAGCGCTGACCATGGCCCCTGTGCCACCTGTCCTGCCTGGGCCCCTCTGGTAGGATAGCCCCCGGGCCTCAGAGCTGCCATCTGAGGCAGACACACCAGCACCCACCAGTGAATGAGCACCTGTCTGTGGCTTCCAAACAGAGGGACACTGGTCTAGCACGAAACCCCAGGGGCAGATGGAGGGGCCCCCAGTTGATGGGGAGGGTTATCAGCTCCTTCTTTTCAGGACTGTCCCTGGGCCAAGGCCCAGAGGGTGGTCTGATTTAAAGCAATTCAAAGCCCCCGAGCCCAGGGCTGTGGGCTGTGTCTGTGGGGTCAGAAACATCATAGGTTTGACTTGGTCATCTAGACATTCCTAGACTGGCATGATGGGTATGGCTGGGGTCCTTGCCAAGAATGGTTTGTTGGAGGATGGAAGTCCCTGGAAAAGGTTAGATCTAAGTTTCCTCCTCCTAAAAGCCCTCCCAGATCCCTTCCCTAGGACCTAAGCTAGCTCCCGTGAGGCTGCTCGCCACTGTGAAGCCCCGCGGAGCAGAGTGAACGATGGTCCCCTGGGTCTCTGGGAAAACACAGTGGGGGGCATGGTCAGGTAGAGGGGGCCTCAGAGGGGACAAGACGCCTGGAGAGTGAACCAAGCCAAAAAAGAGGTTTGGGTGTTCATGTTTGTACCTGTGTGACTGTCTCTGGACCGTACGTGAGAAATAGGGGTTGGTTTCCCTTGAGAGGGTGCCTGGGTGGCTCTGACGCAGGAGTGAGAGGAGAACATACCTCTCATTCTGGATCCTTTTGTACCTTTTGACTTTTGATACCATAAGTCTGTGTAAGTTTTTCAAAATCACTTTAAAATAAAACACAACAGAGAATCTGGAGAACTCAACCCTCCCCAGCCCCCTGGACCCCACCAACTCCAACTCATCTTTTGGGTCCTAGAGTAGGTCCAAGGTTTTGTTTTCTCCCCTCAAAGCCTTCCAGACTCGTCCTGTCTTCCTTAGCACAGCGCATGGTCATTGGCTGGCTGGCTGTCCTCTCCTCTGTTCAAGTCCTAGTCCCTGCTGTTCCCCAGCACCTGGCGCAGTGCCCGCCACGTAGTGGATGCTCCACAAATGGTTGTTGAGTGAGTGGACAGGAGACAAGGTAGAACAAACCTCTGAACGGCATGTTCACCTCTGGGAAAGAAGCTCTGTCCAGGGCACTGGGTCGGTCATCTTTTTTTTTTTATTGGGTAATTGGGGGGGATGGGAACAGTGCTGGGGAATTGGAGAAGGGGAACAGACAAGTTGCTGTCATTTTGGTCTTCAGTCAGGTTGTGGAGGACGTTGCTTCACTTGCCCAAGTTGGCACCATCATTGCGCTCTTCCCTGGAGAGGAAGATCAGTTGCCGGCTTCTGGACGGCCGCTCACTGCGGCGGCTGGCCGCTCACGCTGGCTGCTGGCTACACACGGTAGCCCATGGCAACCCACTGCCACAGGGACTGCAGCCTAAGCCCT